CAAATACCACTTCCATCTGATGTGTGCATGCTGCTGGGTTGGGCCCACAGACCTCGGAGCGTGGTGGATCAGGCCACCCCTACTTCAAGATGGGCAGCTTAAGTCACAACTCTCCTAGGGTCCTGCAGTCAATCCCCAGTGGCAAACCAAGAGTTATGTCCAAAAGGAGAATAATTACCTTCATAAGAGAGCTTAGCTTTGCTCCAGAAGCTACCAGGCTGCAGCTGTGCTCCTTCTATTGGGGTTTGTCACAGGCTCCACACAACTTTCGTGTCTGCCACAGGTGCTCAGAGCACCATTAGACTTCCTGGGTCATGAGGGCATCAATGAGAGCTACTCACAGGGATTTGAGGGGCAGTCTGAAAGTCCTGTCTTGCCCAGGCCTCCATTAAAATGAATCAGAGCAGTAAACTCAAAAGTGGTATGTGCTGCCTTCAGACGCCAGAGTTCCACCAAGCAATCTGTGCCTTTCTTTGTGGCACTGGTGTCTGTGGCTCCTACCATGATACAGTGTTGCTTCTGTTTGGCTATTCTGGTAGGGGAGGATGCCTAAGGGGTGTGAACTTGGCCCTTCTGTTAATGGACAGCCTTATTTGGTGGGTCAGAAAGCCATTATGGGGATTCTGCAATTGCTGAGGGGGACTACTTCAGGTATAGACTCGGGGACTACTTCAGGTATAAACTCAGGGACTGGGTAAGTTATCAGTTAGTTTTTTCACCAAGAACATTGAAGCAGAAGAAAATTTCCACAGTCTACTGCAGTCTGCCACATGCGCCCACTGTCCAGCATCTGCTTCCACAGACAGTCGGTTCTCCTGCAGTGCGTGTTCTATAATGGGCTCTAACGCAAGTATCAGCTAAGTAGGGGGATGATGTCACCATATATGCAAATTAGGTTGGTTCATAGTGACTTTTGCCTCTTAGCATATTAATGTTTGGTGTCACCAGATAAGACCAGCTGACTATGAAAGGGACCAATGGAAGGAGCTGAACGAGCAAGCACAGAACAAAATACTTTTTCGGCAAGCCCACATCACATGTTCTTGGTTCAGTTTTGCCAGTTTCTGCTTGAAAATGCTTGTTTTGAACTCAGCAGCTTCTACCCTTCCTTACGCCCAATTCTATCATCATGCCTTTGTCCTTTTCCTGGAAAGGTGAAGTCCTTCGTTTATTTATTTTTTGTGCGTGTGTGCTGGGGGTTGAACCTAGGGCCTTTGCACTGAACTATATACTCAGCCCTTTTAAAAATTTTTAATTTTGAGACAGGGTCTTTATAATTCATTAGGTAGCCCAGATTGGGCTTGAATTTATGATCCTTCTACCTTAACCTCCCAGTGTGCTGGGATTACAGGTATATTCCACCATCCTTGCAAAGTCCCTTATTTACTGATGTATTTATTAGGAATATGATTGATACGTCTTTTTAACTGTGCTAATATACTGTTTCTTTTCTTCTTTAGAGACAAGGCATCACTATATTGCTCAGGCTGCCCTCAAACTCTGGCTCTTGAAGCCATGCCCCAGATTCCCAAGTAGCTGGGGCTGCAGGTACATGCCACCCTGACCGGCTTTGCACTTTTATGTTTAGTAAGCTTGTTTTTTGTTGCTCAGGTTTTGAAGTTGGAAAGCTCTGGGATGTTCTGCCCAGGCCAAGTATTTCTAAGAGCATGAGTTTGAGAATAAAAGAAATTTCAGGAGCACATTTATCATATTATCATAGAAATGTCTGTCTGCTGCCTTTCTAGCCATAACTATGGATAATTATTCATGCTCCTACCTAAAGCTAATTCCTTCACTTGTGGACTGCATTCCATCCTCTTATTCAAGAACATTGCTCTAACATTTCCCTCATTTTTATCAGTTTTTTCGACTTCATCAAATTTTCATCTCTCCTGACACACCTCTTTCACATCTATGCTTGCTGTTTCCCCCAATTAAAAAATCATTCTCTTGATACCACATCCCCTACCAATCTACCACTCCTATTTCTTTGCTCCTCTTGCACACAAAACTAGCTATAAGGGTTGTCTGTGCTCACTAACTCCAGCTCTTTCCCTGTTTTCAAAGGCGATTGCAATCTGGTTTTGTTTTGCTCCTCTCACCAAAGCTTTCACTGTTCCAGTCACTAACAAACTCTAGTGGTAAACCCAATGGCCAGTTTCCACTCCTCTTCGTACTGGGAGGTCAGCAGCATTTGTAGGGTTGCTTTATTACCCTCCTCCAAACACTTTGTTTACCTGCTTCCAGGCAACCACACTCTTGGTTTTCTTCCTAGCTCCCTGGGTGCTCCCTCTAAGTCTCCTCTGCAAAAAATTCCTTCTTTTCTTTCAACCTCTTGATGCTGGAGGAATCCAGGGCTTAGCTTTGATTCTGTTCCATTTCCCCCTATACTGTACTTAGTTTTTGGTGATGTCAGTGAGTTTCATGCAGCCTAAATACTTATTTATATCTCCAGAGCAGACCTTTAAAGTGAAGATGCACATATTCATTTGCCTGCTTGAGATCACTTTTGTTTAATGCATGATTCAAAATTAGTAAGTTTAAAGCTGTCAGGCCAGCAAGTCTAGATTTGCTAGTTTAGACCGTCTCAACTAGACAAGTCAAAATTAGACTGTCTAGACTATCAAGTCTAAAACTGAACTTCTTATCCTTCACCAACAAATCCGTTATTCCTGGTGCTTGGGCAAATTTTTTGCAAGTCATTTGTTTCCTCAGTATCATACCACACATTCAACACATCAGCAGGCGCTGCTGGTTCTACTTTCAAAATATATCCAGAACCTATACACCTCCTTCTGTCATGCAGGGGTGAGCTATCATTTTCTCTTGCCCGAATTACTGCAAAATGCTTCCAGCTGGTTTCTCTATTTCTCCCTTTTCCTCCCTATAAACAATTTGCAGTGCAGGAGTCACAGTGATCCTTTCAATGTATATTAGTTAGACCTTTCAGATACCACTTTGGCCTAGCTGCCCAATTGTCTCCACGTTTTTTTTTTTGGGGGGGGGGTCTCAGCCTTTGCATGCTGATTCTTGGCCTCTCTCTGTCTCTAACTCTGTCTGTATGTCCTCTCTGTCTCTCTATCTCTGGGATTGTGTCTTCCCTACTGAGACCAGGAGTCCCACTGCAATTGCAGTGTCCTTCCTGGCTCCCCAGCCTGGGAGCAGTTTCCCCCACTCTCCATGCATTTCTCAATGCTGGGGTGAAGAGCATGCCATTTGGGACCTTGGGGAACAGAGGATGGGTATCATAAATCTATTCCAATATGCCCACCTCTCTAAGTCTTTTGGATTTCTTTGTCTGTATATCTACAGAGTTCTGATATTCAGCTTGAAGGTATTATGGGCCACCAATGAGTCCAGGTTTCAGTCAACTGGTTAAATTGTTAGAACCCTTCCCAGTTGCTCATCTGCGCACATCCAACCCAGTATCTTTGCTAAGTGCATATCTTTCCCTGTTGTGACATAATCCAGCCCCTCATATTTGCTAGGATTTTTGTTTTAGCAATTAGCAATGTTTGGAATTCCAATGTGCAAGCCTTTTCCTTCCCTGGCCCTAAATCTGCTAAGATGTGATTTTAGTTAATCCTAGAAGCAATGAGCCATGAAATATATGAAAGAAACTGGTTTCCCCTAGCAGGGCAATCCAGGCTGTCAGGATATTCTACAAGAGCTTCATCAGCCAAAGAGGTAGAGCTGCTTTTGCTGGTCCAGGAAGCTAAGTGGGGCTTGAGATATTTAAGTCACTTGTGTTCCCATTCTAATTCTCAAGGTCTTCATTTTCCTTATTCAACACTAATTTGCACCTAGGAGACCTAGCTAGGCTGTGAACTCAACTGATACATATTTACTCAGTATTCACAGGACCAAACTCTGGAATATTTTTTTCAGCTCTCCCAGTCTGATGGCTACCAGAAGTAAGAGGTTCACTTGGCAGTCATAGGAAATGCCTGGCATCTCCTACTATGCCTTGAGCCAATGTTCCTCAACTGGGGCACTGTTGAATTAATGTTGGATTAATTGTGTTGTCAGGGTCTGTCCCGTGCATTGTGGAATGTTTAATGGCATTCTTGGTCTTTATTCACTAGACTTCAGTTCTCTTTCTTCTTTCCAAGTTATAGCAGCCAAAAATATCTGTAGACATTGCCACATGTCCCGGGGTGGTGGTGGTGGTGGAGGAGGCGGCAAAACTGCTCATAGCTGAGATCACTGCGTTAACTAAAGGAGTTAAGGGCTGGAGGAATCTTTCTCTTTTCTCTGAGCTGTAAAATTCTTCAGCTAAAGCAGTCCACTCCACAGTGCTTGTATTCCTTAGGTTCTGGATACTTCCTATAGCATTGGGAGCGCGCAGGGATAACAGATTGTCTCATCACCATCTCATGTCATAAGCTTTCTATAATTCTAGCTGTAGCCTGTTTTTAACCCAACTAGGCCTGATAATCAATGAGAAATTCTCATTTCTGGGGGCTTGCTGCCTGAAACCCCTCAGAATATCTATCTCTATATTAAAATTCTAGCTTGTACTTAAGTTTTGGAGGTAGCTCTCAGCATTCTCTAGGAAAGCCAGAGAGCCAAGTGTAGAGGCTACCCAGCCAGGAGCACTGCTGCAACTCCAGTACAGGAGTGTCCTGGTGACTTTGCTGCTGTTACTGCCAGGCAAAAATGCCAAAACTCGTACAGGTGGATGTACCTTGATTCCAGGGGTAGGATAAAGACCAGACTCTGGTTGGAAAGCAAAGTTTGGGGCTTCTGCTTTGGAGAGATAAGAGTCACAGGGCAGGAAATTTCCCAAACATAGGAAGACTGCTCAAGTGGTACTAAATTAGTCAAAAACTTGAGCCACTGTATCAGGGTATTGAAAAAAAATTAAATCAAAACACACTTTAACCAAGTTTTTGTTTTTCTCAAGCAGTGAACATAGGAAACATTGAATTTCTTCAAATGAGGGTAAGGGGACAATCAATGCTTTTTGGGAAAAAAATTGCAAATTTCACTTTCCATCATGCTGAAAGATACTGGTTTTATTCATACTGTTATTATTCCCACTGATGTTTTATATAACATGTCATATAAAATGACTTTCAAATAAAAATTATTTTCATTTTAATGGAGAAGAAAATGATAGGTTCACAAAATCAAGTTTAATATCAAAAGAAGTTACATATAAAGATTTCCACATTTCTAAAAATATGATAGGTAAAATACCTATCATCCACTCAGGTGAACCCTGGAACCCCTGGACGCTTTTACTTGGAAGCTGGAGTTTCTGCTCAGATACAGTGCATGGCGGAACTGGTCTTTCCACAGTCTGACAGAACTTCAGAGTCCTTTCAAAGTACTCATCAGCTGTTCTTTCTCATGAATACTAAGCACTTTAGAGTACAGTACTAAGCGGCGTGTCAATCAGCACGTCTTGTCTTCAGGAGAATGATGCTTTGGAACTCTGGTGCCCTAATGAATCCTGCAGCTGACAGGGTTCCTGCACAGCTGACTTCTGAGCAGTTGCACTTGCTTAGGGCAGCAAGTCCACTATGGTCCAGAAGCTGATGACTTCTTATATTTACATATGAATGCATTTGTTTTTCCCAGGCTAACTTCGTAGCATTCTACTGGCACCAAAGAGCCAAATGGCAACATTTTGTCTGAACACTCCCGGTTACCAGCTTCATACGAAGATGTCACTCTCTCTGATGTGTCAGTTTTTTCTTCAGGATTCAAGCACTTCTTAATTCCAGGTTCATTGGCATGGGTGCCCTTGGAATCCAAAGGCATGTGGCTCCCTCCACAATCTTTAAGGAGCCTGTGATGATCTTTGCTCAGCAACAATACAATGGTTCCACCAACATGCAGCACTCTGGGACAAAAAGTGGTAATTGGGTTGAATACATCTTTCCTTTTAGACAACAAACAATCTTGCTTTATTTAAAACAGTTGTCTTTAATTTGAAATTTAATTTTATCTATTTAAATACAAGTATTTTTTGATAATTAGGTAGTATCTTCCATAATGCATATTCATTATAGTAATTATGAAATCTCTAGTACAAATCTGCTTTAATTATCTATTTTTACTCTACTTAAAAAGCAAGCCTCAAAGTAATTTGTAGTCACATTCTAATAAATGATTCTAGAGAAAGGCAAGTGACAGAAGCCTACAGAATCAGCATATTCAAGTAGGCAGGAGGCTGATGGCAGAGGAAAGTCACCGGATAAGAGTTAGGACACAACAGGGATGGGAAAGGGAAGATCAGACAAACCAGGGCAGATCCTGAGATGTCAGCTTTCTGAGAATTCATTTACTCACTCAACCAAAGTTGGGGAGCACTTGTGTGGAAATGGAGAGGAAAATCCTACAGTCCTGTGAGTGCTAAGGTTTTACTGGGCAATGGAGAAGAAGTGACAAAATATACATTAGTGTTCAGAAACAAAAACAGGAATAAGATAATTATAGACAATATTCATGTCTCCAAGTTTAGGACCTCAAACTTCCATGATTTAAATTCAGTTGTATAAATAAGGAAACAGGATGACAGCTAGGGGACCAAGAGTTAAAGGGAAAGCTTGGTAGCTTTTGCTCATCCAATCCATGAGTGACTCAGACAAGTCCATCTCCAAACTGTATCACATATTCGTCTATTTCATCCATACTTTGCTTGGGCTGCAGCAATCATTTAATGATAGACAGGTCTTGCTTCCATGCCTGGTTCCCTTTTTACTCTCCATTCCCAGGTCCCACACAGAAGACAGACGGAAACTCTACTGACTCTGCAATTGTCTTACTGTACTTCAAATAAGCTCTAAACCCCTTCCTATGGTGCTCAGGAGACTCCTACATCATCTGACCTCACCTACCTGTCCAGCCTCATACCTGCCTACTGCCCTTTGCTCAGGGACCTTCCTTCAGGTGCTCAAACTTGCCTTGGGACAGGCCCTGGTCTTGCTGTTTTCTCTGCATTCAACACTTATTCCCTTGTGTGCTTTCGTAACTTTCAGGTTCCAGAGTTCAAATATCATCTTCGTGGAGAGGTCTGTCCTGACTGCCTACCTAAGGTGCCATTTCTTTTCTCTCACTTGCTGGCAAAACATCGTATTTTCTTGCCTGCACTGTACCAATCACAATCTGCAATGATCCTGTGTGTCTGCTCCTTAATGATCTATCTGCCTTCCCACACTGCTGTATCTGCAGCGCACAGAATATGCAAACACCGCCAGCGCATGTGGAGGAGGCTGACTGAATCTTTTGGAAAGGCTGAGGATAAGAGTGAGAAGTGGGTGGAGTGCGATCCTGGAGGAGGGAAATGAGAGAGGAACCTGGCTAGAGGAGAGAAATCCCTTCCACTGAGATGAGGAGGGCAGAGGACAGATGTTTCCATGGAGTGGAAACAATAAAATATACCAGTATGCATAAACACATAGAAGAAATATAATAATAAATGAGATATAACCTCCATCTTTATTGTATAAACAAAAATAAAAAGACTGTTACTGAGGAAGGTAAGATTATGAAAAGATGAGTACTCTTGAAAATGGAAATTGGTATAACACTTTTGGGACAGTAGTTTAGCAGTAATGTATCAAAAAATATAAACTTTGACCCAGCAATCTCACGTCTAAGAAATTATCCTAACAAGACATAATAGCAGGAGAAGAAGAATAATAATGATGGCAGCTAGTATTTACTGAGCACTTACTATGTGGCAGGCACTATTAGATGCTTTGTATTATTTATCATTTAGCCCCTAAATTGTTCTTTCAAGTAAACTCACTTAACATTGTCATTTTGCAGATGAAACACTGAAGTACTGTGGTTTTAAACAATTTGGACATAGAAGTTTCAAAACTGTGCAGCACAGATGTTCAGGGCATTGTTTTCTTTTTGTTGCATTGTACCTCTTTACAGTAAAAAATTGAGAATTACCTACATGTCCAACTGTAAGTACTGGTTACATAACAGTGTAATACTATGAAAATCACTGAAAATTATAATGTGCAGTAAAACCGATCATAAAGAAGACGCATGACATATTACTGAGGGGGAAAAAAGCAGGTTATAGTACAGTACATTAAGGATGATTGCATTTATGTACAATTGAAAATATGTATCTATTCATATTATGTACAAGGTAAGATGACTAGCAAGACATTCACAAATTTTTTTTTTTTTTTTTTTGGTACTGGGGATCGAACTCGGGTTCTTGCGCTTGTGCAGCAGGCAGCAAAACCACTAAGCTAAATCCCCGGCCTGACATTCACCAATTTACTAGAAATGTTTTCAAATAATTGAGAAAATACTGCAGTATTTAAGTCCTGCTATTCAAAGATAAACATTTTTGATCAATATCCTTCTAGGTATCTTTCCATGTATGTATACACATAATTTCTTGCTAAAAAAGCTATTCAGAAATTATAAAGTAACATTTTCCAAGCTGTCTTTCTCTCAACACTAGTGTATGGGTGTTTCACAATAATGATATTATTTCTTGAAAAAAAATTTGTAGGCAATCTGTTGAAACTGAATCAAACAGTATAAAAGATATTTCCCTTCTGCATGTAAACCTGCAGGACCAGATGAGGCGCAGATGACACAAATTACCCTAAATCATGTGCCATGGAGCACATCAGGTCTTGACTGTTTTAACCACCTACTACAAATCCTCTGCTCGGGCAGCCTGGTGTCCTCAGTGCCCTGAACACACACTAGGCTCCACTATTCACTCGAGAATGCTTAGTGAACATCTGTACATAGGAAACATGAAGTGGTCTCCCTGTTAAAATTCTCTCTAAACTTCAGTGAAATCGTGCTTCTTCTCTGGAACCACACCAAGCCTTTATAGCATACAGCACTTTCTCCTTCCCTTATGTTGAGCAAGTTGAATTCCCATTTCTGCTTATGTGTTTTACATGGCTATGTCTGAGAGGGAAGCTCAAATACTGTACTTCTGTCAGTTCCTCACAAGGCTCTGTACCCATGAAACGGTTAATCTTTAAATAAATCAGAAGAGGAAATAATGAAGTTGAGAGTACATAGCTCATGCCACCAAAATAATTACTTATCTGATGATCTTTAAATCTGATTCCATGTTCTTGAAAAATCCACAGAACCGAGCACCCGGAAGGAAGCTCCCCCGCTGCCATCTCAGGCTCCTAGGGACAAGAAGGTGAGCCGGTCCCAGCACCCCGAAGGAAGCTCCCCTGCCTCCATCCCAGGCTCCTAGGGCCAACAAGGTGAGCCGGTCCCAGCACCCGGAAGGAAGCTCCCTGCCTCCATCCCAGGCTCCTAGGGCAGTGAAGCTCAGCTGGTCCCAGCACCCAGAAGGAAGCTCCCCGCCTCCATCCCAGGCTCCTAGGGCAGTGAAGCTCAGCTGGTCCCAGCACCCAGAAGGAAGCTACCCTGCTGCCATCCCAAGCTCCTAGGGCACAGAAGTTGAGCCGCGTGGGTGCCAGAAGCACCCCTCCCCCACCGCGGAAATGAGAAGACACATAAACAAGCCTCAAAAACAAGACTTCCACATCACCTACAGCAACCCCAAAGGGAAATGAGATGGAACAATCTGATAGTCAACCACCTGGACTCTCTGAACTGGCAACAAAAGAGGATCTGGGAAAAATGAAATCAGAAATAATTACTCAGATAACAGCAAAGATTTTGCT